CGCAAACTATACGTATATATATATATAGAGGAACTGTGGAATCCATTGATGCATCCTATATAAACAGATGGAGTTCGTCCCTTGCTTGTTTAAGCTAATTTTTTTTTGCCCCATGTTTAGTTTATCGTTATTGCGCGTTTCTTTATAACAAACTTTTCAATATTTTATAACACAAAAACTTTATCAATATATTAGTTATATATTTTTAGATATCAAAAAAAGTAGGTCAAAATCAAATTTACTTAGAGAAAAAAGTGAAAACGACCAAATTTTTGTTAAATCAATAAAGTAAAAGCACTGTCATTACAGTTTAAAAAAAAACGTTTCCCAGATAAACACGTAAGCTTGCAGCAAGTTTGTCGCGCAATATTGCCAAACTTGCACGTCAAACTTGCCGCAAGCTTCAAATGTCCCACCTAACCCAAGCTTGCATGGTAATCTTACCGAAAGATTGCAGTGTAAGGTTACTGCAGGATTGCACAATAAGATTATCGCAAGATTGCGCAGTAAGCTTGAACTGTAAGCTTGTAGAAAGGTTAGTGCAAGGTTGCCAAATAACCTTGCTTTACAAATAAAAATAGGTTATTTTATAACGTTTCGTCTAATTCATATAATAAAAATTATATAAACAAGACGAAATATTAAAAAAAAATTTTGTTTCAAACCAAGGTTATTTGACAACCTTGCACCAACCTTGCTACAAGCTTACCGTGCAAGCTTACTGAGAAATCTTGCGATAATCTTTATTGTACAATCTTGCAGTAACCTTACACTGTAATCTTTCAGTAAGCTTACCATGAAAGCTTGGGTCAGGTGGGACATTTGAAGCTTACAGTAAGCTTGCGGCAAGTTTGGCAATATTGCGCGGCAAGCTTTTCGCAAGGTTGCTGTAAGCTTACGTGCTATCTGAGTTTTTCAAAAAAATCTCAAAAATAATTCATTACCATTTTTTTCAGTACTTTCTCCAAATAAAAGTAATTTCTTCTGAAAAGTTCGCAAGATCTTATAAAAGTTGAAATGAATATTTCTCTTTACATTCATAACTTTTCATTTTGCTCGCCTATGGAAGACTTCAGAATTTGAACCTGAAAAAATTACGGAACTCGGAATTGACTCTGATGCGCAGTTAACCATTGCCACTGTGTATGAGTGTATATGCACTCGGCATACAGTTTCTTATAGATTTCTACTAGGAAACAGAAGTTATGTACCTGTTTTAGCTCAGAGGATACACACACACCGGATTTCTGTACCTAGAGACGAGAGTTCGAATCCGCCTGCAGTAAAATTTTCTCTAAAATTAATTTTCTACTTCAGATTCTTAATAAAAATTGTTTCATGAGTGTGTTATATTAATAATATATGAGTTTGTATTTGATCGCTATAAATAAATTGTCAAGTGTGACATAATAGTTATGTGTGTTTACAAAAAAAAATGTGAGTGATAAAAAGAGCGAAACAGAACAAAATTTTTTTCGTCTTTAAAGAATTTTCAAAAATAGTTCCGTAATTGTTCATATGAGGCTTTATGAGAAATTCATGTAGTAACTCGTCAATAAGTAAGGAAGTTTCTTTAACATTTCTGAAATGTACTAAGCAAATTCTAATTTGATTTCTTCTTGAATTATTAATGTTCATTTTAATAAAAAATGAAAAGCAAACACAGAAAATTAAAAGGCATTAAAATAAGCTGCAACTGTTATTATTTTAATCCAATTTTCCTTATTTTAATACCAAAATGGATTAAAAAATAAGCAAAATTGGATTAAAATAATAAGCGTTGCAGCTTATTTTAATGCCTTTTAATTTTCTGTGCACTCTTTGTCGATTGCTGATGGAACAATCTGGATTTGTTCAGCTAACAGTTTTATTGTTCCATGTTACGTGGTCATCTTGAATTCTCGTAAACTGGCGTGCAAATCGTCGCGTCGTTTGCTTCTGGCACATGTGCCACTTTTGCTTTTATTATTAGTTTTTTTTTTTTTATCGGTAAAGATATACTCGTTTACTATTGAACATAACCTCACCTTAAAAAATACAAAATGTATATTAAATATTATTTAACAACAAATTTCAACTGAAAATAATTCTTTGATTTCAGGTCAAAGAATTTGATTCAAAAGATGCATGTTCCACAGATTTTAATGCAAATGAAACTGGTGATATGATCTACGGAAATCTGCTATCGATTATTTTAGAAGGCGAAGAAACTGAACAAATTGTATTAGACGGATCAAAGATTTTTTAATACAACAAATTGTATTGCCGATTTAACAATTTAGTTTTGCTATTTCAACTGTTTCATAATAATTTTCTTTGTTCATCAAACAATTCTGTTTGTTCAACGAACAATCCGAATAGTTTTAATAACAATCCCATTTTAACAATTTTTTTTTGTGTCTCAAAAACAAATAGAACTGCTGATTCTATATTGACAATTCGGAATTTGTTGTGTGGACTTAATTTTTAGTAACCACAACAATTCTTTTTTTTCCGTGCAGATAAGTTTAAAAATATCCTAAAATGGTCACGATATCCAGAGTTACTCAACTGAGTTCCGTAATTTTTCATGAATTTTTTCCTTTCTTGTATAAAAATGTATTTGCCTTTTAAAGTAGGTAAATGAAGCGAAACCTTAGAAATAGATAATTATGCATAAACGAAAGGTGTGAAAATGAGAGATAGAGTACATAATGTCTTCTATATAAACAACCGATGTAGGCGCGCATATAATCTTGATATTTATATACATAAATAAATATATATATATATATATATATAAATCTCGTGCCCAGGAATAGAGATTTTATGACGGAATTCCATAAAAATAATTGGCGGATGTGCTCTCGTGTATAAGCTAGAGCGCGTGTCAAAACAGCTTTCGCAGCTTCATGACCTAGATTGTTTTAATTTACTCGTTTAAAGCTCCATTGTTTGGCTGTTATTTTCCATCTAACTGGCCTTTCGTTGACATAAATTAAACATATATATTTTCAGATTTAACTTGACAGCACATCTCGAAATGTTCACATAATTTTTTTTCTCACTCGTAGCCGTCTATATATATATATACCGGCAATTCATTATAAAAGCACGCCATTAAATTTACCATTTATGTCACGTATATATGTATATGTATGTATTAATATATGCAAATAATATTGATTTATGAAAATTGATATTTTTTTTCATTTTTTTGTTTTCAAAAAGTAGAATATAATTGAACTTTTAATTATTTTTTTTTAAATTTTTATAAATTATTTTTCTAAATGTTGAAAGATTTGTTTTTTTTAAATTTATGTATAAACGTTATTTCTTGTTAGATCATTAATTTTTCAATTGTTTTCTTTATTTTTTCCTAATTATGTTTATCGTTTTTCTTTTTATTCACATTTTTTTCTTTTGTCTCTCTTTTTTAATTATGTATATATTTTTTTTTTTGCACTTTTAAGGCCATGTGGAAAATACCCACGTGACCCCATGCAAAAAACATGGTATCGCACTGAGAAAACTGTTTGGTATCATCTACTGAAGTTTGGTTCTCCAAACCAAATTTTTTATTTGATATATGTGCAACTAATCCGTTTGGTTCGGGCTACTAAATTTTTTCGTTGAATCATTTTGTTCGGTCTACCAAATTTTTTGTTTTGCACAACTAACTTATTGTTTTTAAGCAAACAAAAAATTTAGTAAAATGAAAAAATTTTTTTCTTTTCTCAACCAAATTATTTTTTGGCTCACACTTATATTTTTTATTTTTCACTTAATTTTATCACTTTTGTTATCCTCTTTTATTACCCTATGTCTACTTAAATTAATTTCTATTGCGGAAAAACCTAACACTGCTGGGGATCGAACCCTCAGACTACGCAACGCAAATCAAGAACGCTGACCACTACACTAAGAATCCTAGTGACAATGTGAGTGTAAATTATTTTCATAAAGTATACAGGCTGGAGAAAAACTTCCGTTCTTTTAACAAGCTTTATTCTCTCTGTTCGATATGCATCACTACACACACTTTTTTACCGAATTTCTGAAACACATAAAAATCCCGAAAACACTTGAATAAAACTGGACGACACGAAGAGCGAAGCATGGTTAACGTGTGACATATTTACGAGAACAGCGCATGCGCAATTGAGCATTCAGACGGTTTGGTTTGGAGAACCAAATTATTCAGTTAACAGACGCAAAAGCTTCAACGAAATTTTTGGTACAGCCAACTAAATTTCTCGATTGATTGCTTCTTTCGTTACTGTTATGTCAACTAAATTTTTGTAATCTTAACTAAAAGTGCTCCACCAAATTATTTTGTTAACATTACATTATTATTTTTCTCAGTGCGTATTACCAAATTTTCTCTAAAATGGTAAAGAATTTTTGGTTGAAATTTGTAAAATATGATAGAGAATTATTATTACTCCATTCAAAATGGCGCTGTTCTCGGTTTGAAGCAAAATTTTGCGTTTAAGTATTAAAAATAAAAGTTTGAAAATTGCCATTTTTGAACGAAAGTTGAAGTCAACATGGCGGGGGTACACACAGACGTCGCGTGAATGTATCAGTGGTCCAGGAACTAGCGCCAATTCGAGTTAGTGGCCGCTCAAAGAAATAAAAAAAAACCAATTAACTCCACTATTAATTACTTCTTTTAAATTATTTCGCATTCAATTATAGTAAATAAGTAGAACAGCCCAATTCCTTCAACCCTTTTTTATCATTCCTCAAAATTTCAACCTGAAATTTCTTCTCATTTCCGAGAATACTTGGAACTACCAAAAAGTGACTTTGTCTCACATGGCCTTAATGAAATTTTTCTTTTTATTTTGTTTTTCTTTTCATCTTTTTCTTATTTTCTATTATTTTTCTACAATGACTGAGATTTGAAATATTTGAACATAACCTTAAAATATTAATGGAGAAAAATAACCTCAAAATTTGGGATGTAAATTCTTTTTCTCCTATACATAGGTAATAAATATTTATATGAAACTTACGGATTTATTGCCTAGTTGACGAACTCTGCAGGGTAGAAAGGCACGTGTGCCCAATTGTGCTGTTATGTTTGTTGCACTGCTTGAGTCAAAATAAGGCCCTGTGTAGAGTCCCGACATTCTTTTTACTTTAGAATGCGATCTCGTACTCACTCCTGCAAAGAAAAACAAAAATAGTAAAAAAAAAAGAAAAATATATATTCTATCCTAGAATTTCAGTAAGATTACAATTTTTTTTTCAATTATAATTTTCATAAAATATTAATTAATAAAATATACAATACAGTTAAGTTAAAAGTATCAAAATTAATACCAACTTTTATATATAAATTTGAAATTTGATACTTTGAGTATCAATTTGATATAATTTTATAAATTTACTCTGTTGTTTATTATAGAAAAGTTTTCATTTTTTCCGCACAGAAAACAAACAATTAATAAACAATTTACAAATTTTTATATTTAAAAAAAAAATAATAAAGTTTGTCAACAACATTATTATTATGTGCGTGAAAATAAAGCAATGACCTGAAATGATTGATTCTATATATATATATAGCCATCGCTGAGATAACAAGTTTAATTAAAATGAAAATGTTACAGGAATTTTTAAAAAGTGATCAAAAATTGAATTTATCACGGTGCCACACCGTAATGTAGATATATACATATATAGCAAACGAGAATGTAAATTGTTTCGAGAAAAATGCATTCCAATTTTTTTACTCATCTTTTTTTTTCAGTATACACCCAGAATAGTTTTGCAGAACAAAATGTGTGTGCTTCCTTTCAAATATGAATCCTGATTAATTAAAGTAGAATTTCACATTAAAGTAACTTTTACATACACTCTAATTAGCAAAATGAATTATTAAAATTTTTCTCAGTGCATATATATATATATATATATATAATATTTAGAATATTTTATCCTACATTGGTAATTTAAAAAAAAATGTTGAATACAATAATTTGTTTCATAATATATATATATTTATTGAATGTAAACATATTACATATTTGAAACTTTTTCCAGTAAAATTTATTTTATTTTCAATTATATCAATTTTGCAGAGAAATTAATTGGAAAAAAATATTGAAATTGGAAAAAAATTGTTCGTCAAATCAAAAAGAATAAAAAAAAGTAATTATAAAAAAGTATATATATTAAAAACTATATATATACATATGTGTGTGTGGGGACCATATATTTACTACCACTATCAGTATTAGTTTGATATTCAGGACAGTAAAGGTTAGCACTAGTTGAACTGACGATATTACAGTTTTACAACTAGAACAGTTTTCAGCCGATTGGGAGTTCCGACAATATATTCACATTTTACACCTGTGTGTACAAAAGTTGAAGTGCTTAACTTTTATTAGCAATCATGCATAAAATATTGCACTGTTAAAGTATAATTTATTCTTAATGTACAATTTGTTTTTATTAACATTTCTACACTCCATATATATATATATATATACATATACAATGAAAGGACATTGAAGAGCAAAAAGCCGAGATGACACGAAAAAAAAATGTAATAAAACTTTCATATCGCTACTGAAATATGCTTTAATAAATTTTTATATCTACTAAAAATTTTATTTTCATGAATCACAATGAAATAATTTTTATATATAATATTGTCATTTCCCCATGGTTATATTATTATTATTATTATTTTATCATTAATATTATTATTTTATTAATCATTATTATTATTCCCAGATAGCACGTAAGCTTGCAGCAACCTTGCGGGAAGCTTGCCGCGCAATATTGCCAACCTTGCACGGCAAACTTGCCGCAAGCTTAAAATGTTCCACCTGACCTAAGCTTGCATGATAAGCTTACCGAAAGATTGCAGTGTAAGGTTACTGCAAGATTTCACAATAAGATTATCGCAAGATTGCTCAGTAAGTTTACACGGTAAGCTTGCAGCAAGAATGGTGCAAGGTTGCCAAATAACATTGCTTTAAACCTAAAAAAATTTTTTTTTTAATATTTCGTCTAATTTATATAATAAAATTTATTTTTTTATAAGTGAAATTTTACATTATCAGATTTAGAGAGTATATTAAGTAATTTTATAAAATTACAAAACAACAAATATCCATTAAAAATTGATTTATTTTGTAATAAATCAGTTTTTAATGGAAAAAATATGGAAATCACTGTAATCCAAAAAGCTCATAAAATGTCATTTTATTAAATCTGATATCCAGTCAATTATTGAATTTTCGTTAAATGTTTGCACCTATATATATATATAAATAAAAAAAAATAATAAGATATTTACTCGATATCGAATTTATATGTTTTTGAAATTATAATTGATTTTCAAATTTCTCTCTCGACACATAAAAAAAAAAAGCAAATCGAAGAGTATAGTACTACTTCGAAGTAGATATCTGCGTTCATTATTTGCAAATTGACATATCGACGTTTGCATTGCCTGCAGGGTTGCGGAGCTGATTAATCCATATTACCTAGATCGATGTGATCGCGTAGGACTTCTTGCAATTAGTCTCCATGTTATAAGTGTCTAGTGTCAAATGTAATTAATGATGCTTTTATAATGATTTCTGCGCATGAAACTTATACAATGGATGTATAACTGAAAATGCATCTGATTGATTAATTATATAATCGTCTGAAAGTTATTTATTACATAGAATCCATAATAATCATTTTTTAGGAACGCATGAATAAGTTCTAAAACTTAATTATGAATTTTTATCTAATAGAATTTCAGTATATATATATATATATATATATATAATTTTTATTCAGTCAAATTTTTATTTGCTTCGAATTATTATTTTGCAGAATTTTCATTAAACCAATTTTCTATATTACAAAATTTTTATTTCTTCAAATTTTAATTTAAGATAACCCAGGTGGAAAAGTTACCGGTAGTCACTACCGGTAGTCATTACCGCTCCCGCTACCGGAATATTCACTACCGGTAGTCACTACCGGTAATTTTTCCTAGACTACTGGTAGCCACTACCGGTAGGCACTGCCGGTAATTTTTCCGGGACTACCGGTAGGCACTACCGGTAATTTTTCCGGAACTACCGGTAACCACTACCGGTAGTCACTTCCGGTAGTCATTACCGGTAATTGTTTCGGTACTACCGGTAGTCACTTCCAGGAGTCATTACCGGTAGTGACTACCGGTAGTAACGAAAAAATTACCGGTAGTAACTACCGGTAGTCCCGGAAAAATTACCGATAGTGACTACCGGTAGTAACGAAAAAATTATCGGTAGTACCGGAAAAATTACCGGTAGTAACTACCGGTAGTCCCGGAAAAATTACCGACAGTGACTACCGCTAGTAACGAAAAAATTACCGGTAGTCCCGGAAAAATTACCGACAGTGACTACCGGTAGTACCGGAAAAATTACCGATAGTAACTACCGGTAGTACCGGAAGAATTACCGGTAGTGACTACCGGTAGTCCCAAAAAAATTACCGGTAGTGCCTACCGATAGTAGCTACCGGTAATTTTTCCGGGAGTTACAATCAAAATTTGTTATTTGGTAATAAATTTTGAATGTAACTCCCGGAGAAATTACCGGTAATGACTACCGGTAGTGACTACCGGTAGTAACGAAAAAATTACCGGTAGTACCGGAAAAATTACCGGTAGTACCGGAAAAATTACCGACAGTGACTACCGGTAGTAACGAAAAAATTACCGGTAGTACCGGAAAAATTACCGGTAGTAACTACCGGTAGTCCCGGAAGAATTACCGGTAGTGACTACCGGTAGTCCTGGAAAAATTACCGGTAGTGCCTACCGGTAGTGGCTACCGGTAATCTAGGAAAATTTACCTGTCGTGACTGCCGGTAGTGAATATTCCGGTAGCGGGAGCGGTAATGACTAGCGGTAGTGACTACCGGTAGTCACTAGCGAGAACTTTTCCACCTGGGAATAGCCATTTTAATGAATTTTTATTAGATAGAATTTTCATTTGTTTGAATTATTATTTGATAAAATTTCCATTTATACTACAGAATTTATAATTAATTTATTTTTGTAATTTAAGAAAATTTTGAAATTTTTTTTAAAAAAAATTAGTAATGTAACTTTTTAAATATATTTTTAGTTTCAAATTTCCATGTAAGTTCTAATATGATGTAACAATTTTATGAACGCTTTCATACTGCATCAATTTGACTAGTTGGAAAACTTTTTCCATCTAATGTTGTGTAGGAGATATATTGACATTCTAGAAATTAGAAATTTTTTATGATCCCAATTTTTACAGAATTTTAGATTTGATTTTTTTTATGTTACAAAATATTGATAATATATTTATACAGATAGTTTAAAAACCTAATTTTAAGAAAAATTTTCGCATACATTGTAAATTATTATATTTTTTCTTGACTTTTCAAAAAACTTATTGAATTATCCGTTTCTCTATACCTTTTTTGAATTTAGTTTCAGAAGATATCTATCTTTTAAAAATACAAATTTTAGAAAAACCAAAAATCTAATTTTTTTGAAGAAATTTAGTTTTAAATATTTCTTTATGATAAAAAAAAAAAAATTGTAATTAATAGACACTTTGAAAACATATCGGTTGACCTATTTTTTTTAAATGTTTTTCGATATATCAGAAAAAAGTTAACAATTTTTAATAATTGCTTGTTTTCGTTATTTTATTTTCAAAATTGTAGTTTAAATTGCTAAAACTGAATCAATAAAACAGATAATTTTTATAAATAAAAAATAAATTTACCTCTATATATATATGGTGCAATTTTTTCATAAAATGAAAACAAAAAAAAAGTTTTACAATTTATAAATAAACGTTGAGATACAACTTTCGCAAGAATTTTTTTCAAATATTTTTTTTATATATATATAGGAAATTCTTTAAAGATAAATCAAATTTCAATAAAAATTTTTTTTTTCCTTTTTGGTGCAAAATTTTATAAAGTCTTAGTTTCCAAAGTTCTCAAATGTATACCTCTCTCTCTCTATATATATATACAGATATACTCTACTGGCAGACAAACTTGAAAAATATTTTATCTTAAAAAGTAAAATTCTGACAAAAAGTTCACGTCGTATTTTTCTGGCTCGAATGAATATATATTCAGTAGGAAGTCTTGACAAAGTCTATGGACAAA